GGAGACGAAACATTTCTGAAAAAAGAAGAAGAAGATGGCACTCGAAGCCACTTAGACTATGATTTCCCTGTTCAACTGTCGACAATGCTTCCGCCTCGAATGGTGATGTTGTATTTCGAAGAAGGTCGACCAGTAGGTATCGATGAACAACGATTGAATTTTGTGAAACTCGTCGGAGAGTTGAACAAGATTGGTTTGCAATATGGCTTACCTTGGAAAGCCTCTGTTGAATCACGTCCCACGGGAAAAGGTGAAATCGAATGGAATTTGACACCGGGTGTTGATGTACTTCGAGAAGCGATGTGTCGATTGCGAGCTGCATCTGTTCCACCTCGAATGCATCAAGAACTATTTCGTTTCAATGCTCAACTGGCCGAAGATATAGTGCGTGGTGGATTACACAATACAACAACAGTAGCCTACATCAATGTCATTCGAGAGTTGTGTGTGAATGTAACTGGATCAGTGGAATTGACGTTCTATCCCGGTTTTGTTCGTGCTAGTCGGCCAAAACCTGATAGACCGGTGACTGTCGCCGAAGCTCCATGTGGTCATTTGCCACCTCCGAAAAATGCATTGGATTCGGTTAATGCTCTCATTGCACACAATGTAGTTGGACAAGCATTTCGAACTGAAAAGCAAATGCGAGAACATTATAATTGGCAGGCTGACCAATGTACCAAAGCTTTCTGAGGAAAAAAAACGCACTATCATTATTTGTTCATATCTCATTATTAATCTCGAATTGTATGTGTTATCCTGCAAATGTTTATTGTAAGCTTAACTAATTTAAATTGTACTATGTACAGTCGACAACCGATGTGAAGAAATCTCTTTCACGCTACTTAATTAGTTGTTGAATGTAAAATAAACTGAAGAACCTGTACATTACGTCTAATTTCGAGAATATTATATATACAGTTTTTCTTGTCGAACGTTTTTCATATACACCAGTCTTGCCTTTAATATAAATAGAGCAAAATAATATTAGAAATATTTCCATTATATATAATTCTAAGAACTTTCGATGTAATATTACACTGATCAAAGGTTTTATCTCAGTTTCTTGTTTATTGACAAGCAGCCTGTTGCTTTTCTCTCTCTCTCTTCTTGTAAATATGAATAACCAAGAATATTTGCCAATGTGGGTGTGGCTACACGTATGAATGACTAGCAAAAAAAAGAAAAAAAAAAATTTTTCTTAAGGATTCGCTTAGATATCCGCAAGAATTTGGAAAGAAGGAAACAAGAAGGATAAGAGAATGGTTCTTCTGTGACTAAGTGGGAAAAACTAAGATATGCATTAGGTCTATTTTGAAAATTATGTAGTACTTTATTATGAATGAACAAGCAATAAAGTGCAATGATGGACTACGTTTATTTAATTGTGTGATCCATAAACCAGTAACCATCACGTCTGTTTTCGTTCTAACACTCACTTTAAGATTTCCAATCGTGATTTTCTAGAATAACCATTGAAATGGTTATTCAGATCACTACTCACTACGTAATAAGTTGTGATAGGTGCTTATAGTCATAGTTTCTTCTTACTAAGTTTCAACAATGATCGAAATCAGCTTGCTTTCTTTTCTGTCATTTATATCTCATGAATGAGTGAACGTAGGTCGATCACCCGTTCGACATCAAACAAGCAGGTTGATTAAGTGTTTTTTATTCGGATATAATTTTGGTAGCGTGAAAAATCCAAAGCAGAAGGCAATAATAATCATTGAACAAATGATGGACCGATACTTTTGTTCATTTCAGGAATAATTGGCTCATTTTTCATTTTTACTTACAGATCTTCCAATCAAAAAACTTTTTCAATCTTCACCACAGGTTTGACTGTTTTTTTTTCCTCATAAAAACAAAATCTGCCTAGCTAATTCATTTAAGAGTACCAGCATGTATACATCAAGCTGCGAATATAGCATTGAAGTATGATTTAGAAGAAAATGAAGTTTTATCTAACAATATTTTTCGTCACATAGCATGTTCTGTAGAGATCCTGTTGACTACTTGATAGATAAGATATGTGAGCTCCAAGATACAGTATATGAGCATCAAATAATGGAAGAAAGCATGATGATTCAAATTAGCAGCAAAGTAATCCCTCGGAGTATTGTTACTTTCGATCATTCAAAGCAGGGGCAAACGGTTTGCGAATGTACGTTGGTGTGAACGTGAAAGAATAGAATAGAGATACCCACATCAGCATTCTATAATGAATCATTTATAAGAAAAAAAAGAAAAACCATCTTAATTATCAAAAGGACTGTCAAATAGCATTTTTTTTAACCATAAGACAAGTATTTAGAAGAGAGGATTGTGTTCTCGTAAAATTATTACGATCAACGTCTATGACATCCATGTCATTGATTGTGTTTAAAGGAATCAAATTTATTCGTGAATGTGGTCGAGTTTTTAAAGTAAGTTGACTTGTACCAATATTAGTAATGTATTTGCTATCAGATAAATTTCTCTCTTTGTCGGCGTAGGACAATCTGCCAAATAATATTAATTATTTGTAAAAGAATAGGAGGTAATTGATCGTCAGTGATCCTAAAAAAGTCATGAAAAGACTAATTAATTACCTTCAAGGTCAAACTATAATGTGCTTCATTGCTTTTTTAATAAATTTTGATAGGAGTATCAAAAGGACATTCGGTTTTCATCATTTAAGTGGGAAGATGCGGATTCATCGAATTATCTTCTCTTTTCATTTACACAAGGCTGATATTCCTAGTTTGTTCCGTTCAAGAGTTATAGGGCTTTTTCAGAGACCTCCCATTTCAGTCAATGAATAGGAGTAATTACCCATGCTGAGTCGAATGTGATAACAGTGTCGAAACAGTTAGAACTTAGGCATAGATATCACTATTCAACTCAGCATGGGAAATTACTCCTATCTAGCTGCTTCTCCGAATCATTCAAGGCCAATTCGCTGAAATCCAAGTGGAGATCTCAGAAAAAGTCTTATAGTTCTTCAAAGGAACAAACTAAGGATGTCAGTCAAGTTATTAAAAAACATCTGAGCACATTGTATTTTGAAATCAATATCAGATACTTTTAGAGTAAAAAATTGTCTTTTACTACGAGTAAGCACAAAATCAGGAATTTATAATTTAAAAATAGTTTCATCTGTAATATTATGATCGATCAGAGTTTAATTATCGTCATTTTCCAGTTGATTATTGTAAAATAATAATCTTTGATGTTCTGCTGCAATTTTTTCTATATTTTCGATTTTTTGTTTTATATCTTTTAAAGTATTATCTAATTTGATACATAATGGTATTCCACTATCTTTTTTTTTAAAGAGATAATTCAAAATTATTTATATAATAATAAAATCTTCTAAAACTTCATATTCGAAATAGAATATAACATCTATCAAATAACGATCAACTAACTTGATAATTGAATGTTGAATAATTGCATTAATAAATTGGCTGTTTGCAAGTTCATCATCATACATAGTTAGTTTTTGATAATTTGTATGGATATTTCATTTTGAATTATTTCTTTCAAATCTTTAATATTTTTATAAGATTGTATATGAAAATTATAATAATTGTTAGAATACTCGCTGTTAATTTTTTAAAATCAACAATATTCTCTTATAGATAAAATAATAATGAAATCAAATGGTATTCCTAATAAATGTTCGCATTCTTTTTTTTTGAATCAAAAATAGTTTGTTGCTGTAACGATATTTTTCTTTTAAATACAAACGGATCATCATCTATAGAAATTCTTTTGATAACAGCTTTTGTATTTTCTTTATATCGACATTATTTTAATACAATAACTGAATTATTTTCAATACCGTAATCAGATGTTAATTTATAGGAGAACAAAGGTTGACCTTGATATGTAAGATTTTGTTGATAAAATGATATTTGCATAGGTTTTTCAATATTGTCTTGAAGAATTTCAATTCTATCATTTAGATTCACATCAAATTTAAATCATTTATGTTCACTTTCGATAACTAAATGTACATGAATCATAATCAATGTTTGTAATGAATGAATTGGAAATCGAGTTGCGTATGTGTGTGTGTATGAGTGTACTCTAAATAAATACGAACATCGATACCCACACCCTGCTTCGAATCACAAATAACTTCTTTCTATCACGTGTCCATAAATGAAACGGCATAAGTGTAAAGAGAAACACTTGTAAAATAAATTCTCAGTTTTTCTATAAACTAACGGCGCATAATACCGACCCTTATATCCCTTCGCTAAACACGTTCTGAAAGAAATAGGCTTTTTTATCAGTTGACAGGAAATTTTATCCTTGTCTCACATTCGCACATAAAATCGGTCGACGAAATTTGTTTATAGTAAAAGAACAAAAAAAAAAAAAAGGTTTTTGAAAATTTAGACAAGTACACAAAATGAATCGTAGTTTAGAAATGATGAACATATTCTTCTAACTGTTATAGTAACACTGGTTATCTTAATGACGAGGTATACATGAAGGTTAGGAGGAAATTTTTTTTACTTGTCTAACTTATTTGTCTGATTTTGCATCTCATGTTCAAATAAGTATAAGCTAACATTAGTTTTATCTTCTATAATCTAAAGATATCCTGGTCAGCATTATAAGAAATATTATTTTCAAGAACTATTCATAAAGATTATGATAATTGTTTTCAATATTGAACATGAAATACAGAAAAAAAGTTGTTTTTTATTAGTCGGTTATGTGCTTAAATATTTTAATCAAACTCTTGTCTTATTATAACAAGATAATCATAAATTTTATACCAAAGATGATAACATCTAGATGCATTTATAAGTTATTCATAAACTATAAATACCTTACCAAGGTGTTAGTTGTCTGACTTCTGGAAGATCATCAGGTAAAATCAATTTAAAAAAGATCAGAGTACATTTTTGAAACTTCCAAATATACCAATGGCTGATTCGATGTAATAATCTACTTGTACATAATCTTTTGTTTGTACTTCTTTTTATATCGTTTTAATAAATGAAAACAAACATCGAACGAGTTCTTGAATTTTCCTTCACTATGCAACAATATTGATTCTATGTCTAATTATTGATTATCTTCATATGTAAAACAATAACGATCAAAAACTCTTGGTCATGATGATTATATGAAAGTTTGTGCTAAACTATCATCTGTCAAACAATAAAAATAACAGATATCGAAGTATGTCAATGCACTTTTATAATTATCCAGATGAAATTCAATTTCACCGAATATTGTATTTTTATAGGCTAATACTTTGTGATTATCACTCATTTCATGCGAAAGATTACTAAAGTATTTCTTTGCTTATTGATATTAACCAACTTCAATTGACATTCTATCAAGTGGACATTAGTTAATCCAACACACCATGTGTTCTTGTATAGCGTTTGATAGATTCTAATTTTAATATAGCTCCAATATCAAACAGAATTTCTTTTTCTTCGAGAAAAGTACTGTATTGAGATATATCAGCAAATATATTTCGTGTAAACATCAGATAGATCAATATTAATTTGAAAAATGATTCACAATTTACTTTCACAAAAAATCAGCATGAATCTTGACAACTTTAAAATGTTTTGAGGCTGATAGACATAGAATTTTAATGGTATTTGATTATCTTTAGTGAAAAGAAATGTAGATTTCGAAGTGAATCGTTAAAACTATGAAAATACCAAAAAAGA